GTGGAGGGGATTTTCCCTGCTCTACTAGTAAAAGGGGCTCTTCCCTAACAAAGAACATGACAATACCAAGAGCAAAAGTCTGATCAAGACTCCAAGTTTCTGCTCCCGTAGAAAAGTAATACATAGAATTATGTTTGTGCTGAGTTTGAAGCCCCGTATTCCTTCTTCCTCTAGCTCCTGGAGGAAGATAATACTTTGCGATTTGGGGGAAAAAAAATACTCTAGAGAAAAAAATTGCATCATATGCATGATGAAGGATTGGTACTTACAATATCTGAAAAATGCTTACATGACAATAAGAAAAAGGCAAAAACCATTAACAGAAGATGTAAAATATATAGCAGAAAAAGAAATTCATAAAAAAAAAGCTTGCCTAAAGTTCTTTCCTTGCTACCACTTTTCAATTACTAAATTATCAAATACAGAAAGTACTGGTAGAAATTGTGACAATAGTTTGGGGATATAGGCCTTTCAAATATTAAAGATAAAATTATTCATTTATACCTTCTTTTTGAAGAACATTTAAAATCATATATCAAAAGCTTCTAAAAAGTTTATGCATATTGACCCAGAAATTCCATTTCCAGGAATTTATCCTAAGGGAATAGTCAGCAATCTGGATAAAAATGATTGTAAGTGGTATTTAAAATAGCTTTATAATCACAAAAGAATGAAAAATAACTTAATATCCAATAATAGGTATTGGTTAATCAAATTCTAGCAAGACTTTATAACATTCTTTATGTTACTGAAGAATCTTTTATTTAATGATATGGGGAAATGATCACAGTATATTGTTAAATGAATGCTGTGGGATATGAAATGCTATCTACAGTAAAAATAATTAGAAATGTACCAAAATGTTAACTAGTAGTTCTGAGTGATGAAATTATGAGTAATTATTGTTCTCTTTTTTGTACTTTATCTTTTCAGGCTTTAGATAATACATATGTGCTATTTTTTTTTAAGAGAGATTTTTTGCTACAGAGCCTGTGTGCTCACCAAAGAGACAGACAGAAAGTGAGAAATCACCCTGCAGTGGGACATGGCCATGCTGCAATCCCTTCTCCTCCATTCTCCTCTTGGGATCTTGGGCACTCATGTACATTTGCCCTGTGTGAGTTTTAAGCCGCTGGATCCAAGACTTGAACCACAGTTGACTATGTAGGAGTCCAGCGATGTAACCATTACACCATCTGCTGGTCCCCATATATGCTATTTTCATATTTAGGGAAGTCATGATGTGTTCTTGTATAGAATAACAGAAAAATACGTTATGACTTTCCCAAAGACCTAATATTATTTAAAAATATACTTGTTTTCACAATAAAAATGCTAACATAATACAAGAAACTTTTTATATTGTTTAAAGATTTCTTAAATTATTCTATTATAATTTGAATGGGAAAAAATGTGCTTTTCTAAGAAAAAATTCTCTTAGTTTTAGACTACTTCATTTCACTCCTAATGCTGTGAGAACTGACAATTACCTTTGCCTTTAGGGGTCACTTTTGTAGAGAGGTAAAGGACAGGAGTCTTAAGGGATGAAGGGCTAAATAGAGGACATAAAGTGATGGCTCACCTTGCTGACACAGGAGTCTCAGTGTGCATCATCCTCTTACTAGGGGTGGAAAACAGTGGAGGTGACACATCGGCCAAGTTCTTGCTTTGAAGTTTTAGTTTCAGAAGAACATCTGAGAAAAATGAGCAAGTGAGACTTTTCCTGCTCTCACACCTAATAAGTCCTTCATACTTAGGCCAGGGTCCCATTCTCGCTGAACCTGAAATAGGCAACACATAACTACACAGGCTGTCATCTACTTCCAAAGCCTACACCTCCAGGGCAAGCCAGCAGACGTGGGCAAGTGGTGATTACAGTCGTGAGACAGAGGGACTTCAAGCTTCACTATCAATTCTGAGTGAGTTGTAATTTTCAGATTATGCTTCTTAGAATAATCTTTTGGTTCAATAGTGGCTATTTGTTTAATTATTGTTTATTATTAAATTATTGTAAACCATATTTCTTTATAGCCTATGGACTACTTGGGAAAAACCTAGATGTCATATTAGCACTAAGTCAGACTTCCTCCTAACCCCTTGCCCTACCATCCTTGCAATTTCTATTACTCAGTCAGTAAAACAAACCCATGTGCAAAGACCTAAAACATTGCTTATTTAAACTCCCTAATACACAGTACTAATATTATAGTGGATAAGATGATATATAACTTATATGTACTATGTTTGTAAAGTTTCTAAGATAAAGATGGCCTTGATAACAAATCAACTATTACATGATTGCTATGAGTTGATGTCATTTCCATATTATTGTAAAAATAAAAACCTTTATTTATTTGTTATATTAGATAAATGAAGAAATGTCTGATATTAAAAAACAAAAACAGGTTTAACTTTTATGATACTTCTCTTTTCACTTCCCTTTTTGTCCTCTTAAAACTAATATAATTAAGGTACCATTTTCTCCTTAAACCCATTTGAGGTAGATATTTCACTATTTCTAACATAGAAGGAGATCATCAATTATCCCTTAGTAATTCTCTTTAAACTAAACAAGAGACTATATGCTAATTCTGTTTTTCTCAAAGTTTTTAGATCAGCTGTATTAGAATATCAGAGGAGGACAAATATACAGGAGGGAAGGAAAGGAGGAAGGAAGGAGGAAAGAACAAAAGAAAGCTAGTTTCTATGAGATTATGCTCTTACCTTGGAAGGTAGATGTAGGTTTAGTGTTACTTGAGTGAACTTTTGCTAACCAGATGATGCTGGAATGGTACATGCCAGGGATTTTGGAGACCTGGGTTGGCAGATGATAAGCAAGTCATGTCAACAAGGAATTGTCAGAAGCTAAACACAGAGTAAATTGACTTCACGGCTTTTCTAGTGTCTTACCACATTGGGCGATGATACTTACAAACATTCATGATCATGCTATTATTTATTAAGTGTGTAGGCATTTGCTAATAAATGGAAGATAAGCATGTTCTACATATATTTCTTTATTTAACCCTTCAAATAACCATTTAGCTATTTCTTTTTGACCTGTGGGTAAACTGAGGCTTATGATTAGGGTAAAGAACTTGCCCAAAGTGATACAATTAGAGGATTCTGGGCCTTGAACTTAAGTCTCAATGATCCTCAAGTCCATATTAGTAATCAGCTACAGATAACAGCAATTTTTACAATAGCATTTACTGTCAAATTTATAGGAATTACGTAATAGCTTTTTTGCTTCTGTCCATGTGGAGGGAGTGTTGGGGTCAAATCACTAAAATCTAATGGATAAAATGCTCATAGTTTAGTCAGCTCTGGTAGTTTTAGCAATTTAAAAGAGCAGTGATGATTTGTGTCATAAAAGCTATAACACACATTTGTAGAGAGGAAAAAGCAGCTAACCTGCTTTTTTAATCTTTTCATTGCATGTGCATTTGGCAAATTTGTCATTGCTTCTGACTGTTGTCTTTTTCTTAATGCATGTGTTCCTTTGCATGGATTTTTTTGACTTCATGATCTTTTCTGTGTGTTCATTTTCTTTTTGAAATCATAGCTTGGGAGCCGTTTAATCTTAACAGATTTTAAAAACAAGGTCACATTTTAATGTAAATGCTTTTAAATTGACCCCACTTGCTAAAACGATGTGAAGTAGCAATGTTCCATGACCTGTTTTTTAATACCTTTTGATATGTCCTGATTTCCAATCAGTTGGACGGATAGTAACTGAAGCCTCATCATCAGACCGCCACTGCTATTATGATGCCAAGTCTGATGTGAGCGGTGCCGAGGAAGGGGGGGAGCTCTTGAAGAAACCAGAGATTGACACACCTGGAGGTAAGAGCACATTATTACCTAGGAGGAGACCTTCAGAAGTCCTCTGCAAAAGATGCCTGTTTCCATCTTTCATCTTCCTATCCTTATTTCCCATGCTACCTTTTTTCTCATCTTTCCAACTAATGAATGGGAGGGTGGCAAGTGGTTTCAAGATCTTAGTAAGGGTTTCGAAACCAATGTAACTGATGTTAGATATAAATGTTATTATTCTTTTTTAACTGCATTGGTACCTAAGATTGGGGAAAAAAAGGACTTTGTAATATACTGGCTGGGATTTTTGGATTAGTCTTGCTTCATAGATTGCCCAATTAGTTGACCATTGGGCAATTGGCCATTAGGTGAATTTGTCTTAACCAACCCAATTGAAAGAATTAAAAGCCAATTCACAGTTTACAATGATTCAGTTGAACAATTTTTTTTTAATTAGGAAATAATTCATTTCCCTCAGCATATGTCCTAGTTCTTGGTGATGAGAATTCCATCTGCAAGAGGGCCTGTTAGCATGATCCAGTAGACCATGACTCACACCTATCTGGTCAAACTTCCTAAGTCCTTACACTCAGGCTTTCACATATTTAGTAAATGACCTTTTAAAAATGTCCCGATTTGAATGTATGTATGTGCATGGGTAGTATTTATTTTACTCATCACTTGATCACAATAGTCCACCTCCAATTATTAATGATAGTCATCAAGGAGTCTGACGCATTTGAAATTTTACCAGACTTGCAAGCAAACAACTTAGTCAGCCACTGTTTCTTGGATGCTGGCAGAACACAGATGTTAGGTTAGAATAAAAGGACTTTACTACTCATGGCAAATGGCAATATTAAGTGTACCTGCATTCATGCTGGTTCTGATGCGTGAGCTCCAGTTCTCCCTGGACAACATGAAGAGAGCAGATGACACTTGAATTCGCAGTGGACTGAATTATAAGAGAGGGACCCTGAGCTTTGAGAACTCATGTCTTTGATAGTGGCATTCAACTAAGGAAACTCTCGTGTACCTCCCCATTCATTCTCCAACGTAGACATGGTAGGGTAGTTAATATTGATCAAATCTAATCTAGGCAAGAAAATGTAATAAATCCTGAGTAGGAGGAGAATCTGGAAGGAAGATTTATTAGGGCTTTCTGTATGCCAGTTTCTGTAAACTTTCTCATTTACTATCACGAAGGTTCCGTGGGTCAAGTGTTTTCCCATTTTTAAGATTAAGAAAATGAAGGTTTAGAGAAGTGTAATGGCTCTAGTTTATACTGTTAGTAAGTGGCAGAGCTGGCATTCTTACCCAGGTCTATCTGACTCCCAAGTATAAGGTCATTCCACTAAGCCCATGAGGTTACCTTTTAAAAAATGCCATATTTTGTACTGATATTTCTTAGAAAGACTTTTATTAATCTTTTCCCCTTGCTTCATGAATGTCATGTCCAACTCCCCTGTACTGTGAGTGGGTTCATATCCTAGCCCAGCAGGATGCCATTAGCACTTTCCTAGAATTTCGGCATAATATATTATTACATGGTGGCTAGGCAATTTTAGTCCTCTGTTTTCCTGAATGTTCTTTAATTAACCCATAAATATAGAGCTTAGAAAAACAAACAACTTCATTAAATGTTTTTCACAACTGATTTTTAAATATACTTTCATGCAGGAATGTGACCAGCAACAGGTATACTGTCAAAGAGACTGATACACATTGCTCTTTCGCATTGGTTCAATTTAATTTTCAGATCCAGGAATAATCTGTAATTAAGTAAAATGGACCATATTCTCCTGGGTGAGGTGACTACATATCTCTGAGCAAACACGGGGTTGTACATCTCCTTTTTGGAAGCTTTTAGGTACAATTTAGGAAATAACTGCTGGGAAATACAGAGAATCACCTATAAAAGTCAACCTTAGCCCCAGTGATAAATCTACAATTTTTATTTTACTGCCTTGAAAGAAGACATCAAAGTTACCTTCCAAATACATATTTAAAGGGAAATGTAATATCAACTATTAGTGCCTTACCTCAAAATGATTTATTATAGCAGTTGGCAAGAGACTGAAGGAATGCAACAAAGGATAGCCATATTTTGTGACAGGAAAAGCAATGCAGTGGTAAGACAGTCCTGGATGGGATGAAAGCATAGAGAAGAAAGTTAAGATTAGAGTTTTGTATTTCTGGTAGAATCTTGATGATGTTATCGGGTAAAATAGCTAGCAAAACAGGCAAGAAAATAAAAAGAAAAAAAGTGAAAAAACACATTTGCCTACTTTTTAAGTTTACATAATTTAGAGACTGGCACTTGGTAAAATAACTTATTTAGTAGCATCTAGTCCAGTGTCTTTTATAAATGAAAAATAAGATTAGATTGATAGAAATGATTAAGATGACCATTTTGAAGCTCCTTTATCTCTATTGTACTGCAGTAGGAAATTTTAAATGCTTTGGATATTTAGTATGGCATACTTTTCTTCACTTATTTTTTAACAAAATATTTAATTTTATTTATCATTATTGTTTTTAAATTTGACCAGAGAAAGACAGAGAGAGAGAAAGGGAAAATGAAAAAGCAGGCCACCAGGTCCAGGACTCCAAACACAGTTGGTCACGCGGAAGTCCAGCAACTTAATCACCAACACCTGCTGCCCCTCTTCCTTTACTATGAATGAATTATTTTTAAAAGTCTTTGTTAAATAAAATAAATCCATTCAAAGCTTTAAAAAATACCAAACCTATATTTATTGAAGTCTGGTGTCTAGTATCCCCAAACTTGCCAGGGAATTATGGGTGACAATTTATGAAATACTTCAATTTATTTATGATGAAAATTATCCTAAACTACAAAGTTCTGTCTTGCTCTCTGATCCCATTTTCCCAAAGGCAAATCAGTTTCTAAACAGAGATGAGAAAGTACCCTGACCTGTATTACAAATTGATATCTTTAGTAAAAAGTCTTACCTTGAACTACAAAGTTTTTTGATGGCTAAATCTAGATATACTAGCTTATAATATAGGATAATGTATGATATAATACTCATGCCATATTGTAATATGATTGTGTTGCTAAAAGTATATACGTGTACCAAAACAATAGCAGAAGTCAGACATACTAGTTGCCATAGGGAATAATGATTTCTAAGAAGATTAAATACTTACTATTTTCCTTATTGCATAGTTTTCCTACATGTTTTAATATTTAAAAATAAAATACCAAGTATATGTAAGAAATAGAATTTACTGAGGGACTCCAAGGCATAAGGACATGAAGGAATTTCTGATGTTGTTTTGGGCTTTTTGATTTTTTTCCCTATTTTCAACATTTTTGATGTTCAACTTTCCTTTAATGTCAGTGAATGTCAATGTATCTTTTTTTTTTTTTTTTTTTTAAAGGGAGAGATTTTTGCTATAGGATGTGGGCACTTGCCAGGGAGACAGAAGCAGAAAATGAGAAATCACCCCCAAGGGGAAGGCCATACTGCAATCCCTTCTCCATTCCCCTCTTAGTATCTTGGGCATGCATGTACATGCACCCAGTGCAAATTTTAAACTGCCAGGTCTGGGTCTTGATCCAGGGTTGACTATGTGAGAGTCAGCAATCTAAGTCCTATGCCCCCTGCTGGTCCCTCAGTGTGTCTTAAAACACTTGGAAGCAAGACCAGCAGATGGTGTATTGGTTATGTAGCTAGACTCCCACGTAGTTGACTACGGTTTGAGTCTGGGACCTAGCAACCTAAACTCATGCCAGGTGCATGTACCTTGGTGCCCAAGATCCAGAGAAGGGAATGGAGGAGAAGGAATTGCAGGTGCAGAGTAGCCATCCTCCATGTGTGTGTGTGTGTGTGTGTGTGTGTGTCTATGGGGGGGGGGGGCAAATTTCTTGCTTTCTGTCTCTCTGTTGACCACACACACTCTAGCAAAAATCTCTCTAAAAAGTTTGGAATTATTTCTTTTTCGTTCTTTCTTTTTAAATTTTGCCAGAGGGCATGTACAACCCACCAGAGAGAGAGAAAGAGAGAGAAAGCAAGAGACAGAAAATGAGGAAGCCCTCTGCATGGGAAATGGCCATGTCACAATCCCTTCTCCTCTTGTTTTTCCCTCCTGTCGAGATTTTGGGCATGTTGGCACATGTGCTGAATGTGTTTTTGAGGCTGTAGAGTTCAGGACTTGAACCATGCAGTAGGCCATGCGCAATCCAGCTGCGTTAACCACCATGCAACCGGTTGGACAGAAAGACTCGTTCTTTTCCTAATAAAAAGCAATTGCTAAAACATGTTGAATAGTATAGCTGATCCAAGGTATCACAGAACCAACTGAGGAAATGTTTTATATGTAATATTAATGACCCCTTGATATAATGCATACATATCATCTATATTATAAATACATATTCTGTAAGATTATATATATCTCTTCCCTTTTCAAAGTGGATTAAAGTAACCTTGTTATCTAACCTTATTTTCATAGCACCAAATGAGAATTTAATGGTGGAAGAAACCTCAACGCTCAGCTCAGACAAACAATCCTGGCAAGTTGCACAAGAGGCATGTATGCTGGAGAAGGAGGCCATGGGGGAAGAAGCAGCTCCCCAGCAGGAGGATGCTGATACAATAGAGGAAAAAGGGGAGGCAGCAGGTTTGGGGGAAGCGGGGGCTAAAGAGCTCCTCCTTGGGGATTGGAAGCCCACAGCAGAGCAACCAGCGTTAGCAGAACAGTTTACAGAGACAGGAGAGCTCCCTCTGGACACAGCAAGTGGGGCAGAGGCAGAAGCAGAAGGGGATGGAGGGCTGGCTAGAGAGGAGGTAAGCCCCACAGGAGAAGCAGCAGCAGAAGAGTCTGTGGATCCTGAAAATAAGCCTCCTGGAGCTGAGGCTCCGGAACAGCAGGCTTTGGTGCAGTCAGTGCTCCAGACAGACCAGGAAGCTCCTGAAGGGGAGCAGGGCTCCCCAAAGGCCATGGGCGCACCGGAGGCAGCAGTCCTGACAGAGGCAGCGATGTCAGAGACAGGAAAGGCTGGGAGAGAGGCTGCAGTGGGGCAGGCCGGGCCTGGAAAGCCAGGTGTGGAGGAGAGTGAGGAGCAAGCAGCCATAGACCAGCGGGACAGGGGCCCCATGGAGGAGCCCGCATCCGGGGAAGAGGATGGTTGTGAAAGGACAGTGCTTGGGTCAGAGGACCCAGGCAAAGGCCCTGAGGGAGCGCTGGGAACAGAAGCGCCCCTGAGCCGCGCAGCTGGAGGCCCCGAAGAACTTTGTAAAGAAGCAGCAGAAAGGGAGGGAGTCCTGGCTGAAGCGGAATCTATTAATAATAGGGACGATGACAGAAAAGAAATTTTACCCGAGGAGTCGGATGTAGCAGGAGAGACGAAGAAAGCTGAGAGGCCAAAAACACCTGCCGGGGAGACGGCATCTGAGAGAGACGACGAGGTGGCAAGGGCGAAGGAACTTAAGGATGAGGACGCTTTAGAAGAGCAGAAACCTGACGGGGAGGAGGGGGAGGCCGCGCAGGCCGCCAGATCTGAGGAGAGGAGAGCCTCTCAGAACCAGACGGAATCCGCTGCCGGCGGCGTAGAGGCCGCGGCGCAGGCTCCCGAGTCGCCTGAAGACGCAGGCCTGCTGGAGGAGGCGCCCCCAGAGCGCGCGACCGCCCCGTGTGAAGCAGCCCGCGGGTCTGAGCCGTCGGGCGGAC